GGGGAAAGGGGGGCGGCCCAGAGGCCCCAGGGGGAGAGAGTAGGCGCACAACGCGCGAAAGGCGGGGTGGGCGGGGTGGGCGGGGTTGGACGGGCGGCGGGCACCTGCTTGGTCTCTACGCACGACTTCTGCTTGCACCCCGCCTCATTGCAGTGGAAGGCGTGCACGAGCGCCTGCGCGGCATCGAGGGGCGACCGCGCGCGGGTGGTGAGGCCACGCCGCGAGGGGCGGGCGGGCGGTGGTGTCGCAAGGTGCAGGCTGCGCCGCGGGCTGCGCATGCCTGCACTGGCAGCGTCGACTTGCGGTTCTGGTTGACGCCGCCCATGCCGTGCTGCCCGCCGTGCTGCCCCAGGTTCGGCTTGTACTCTGGCGGATGCGCGACGGGCGGCAGCCCCATCTTTGGCTCCAGCATCGCCGAGCCGCTCACCGCAGACTCGGCGAGGCCCACCTGCGAGTGGGAGCGCTGCGGCGGCACCGGCCCAATCACCGGCTTCGGTATCGGCGGCGGCGGCTGCGGCAACGGCGGCGGCCCGGGCTGGTTCGGAAGCACGTGCCCCTGCACCGTCGTCGGCTGCGCCAGCGGCTGCACCGTCCCGGGCGGTAGCTGCCCCTGCTGCGGCATGCCCATCGGCGTCGGCCGCTGGGGCGGGGGGCCACTGCGCTTCATCAGCTCCCGCTTCTTCTGCAGCTCGTCAATCTGCGGCACCATCGCGAGCAGCGCCTGCCGCAGCGCGTCGCGCCCCGCCACGCTCCGCAGCTCGAGTTGCAGCTGTAGCACACACGGGGGCGCCGGCGCCCGGGTGAGGGGTGGCGCGAGGCGGGTGGGGTGGGGGGCGCCGTGCGCGCCTGCTGCTTGCCCAGCTCCTTGGAGAGGTACCGATTCAGCATCTGATCGAGCTGCCCATGCTTGTCCGGCTGCACAAACTGCTTGACGGTCTTCAACAAATCCGGCACCGAGAGGCTCAAGTTCTCCCTGCGGGGCGAGGGGCGCGCCGGTGCTGTGAAGGCGCCCCGGTGCGTGAGGCAGCGTGTGGGGTTGTTGTTTGTGGCGGGCTCTCCCCCCCCCGCGCGCGCGACGGACGCACATCTGTGCAAGCCCTTGCCCGGCTGGAGGCTGGGGCTCTCTCTCTCCGATGATGTTCCGCTTGTTTTTTTTTTGCCTCCCGGCACTTCACCTTCTTTTTGTCGCGCCACCGGCTCCCTCGCAGGCTGCGCTGCCCCTGCGAGGGGACCGTCCAAGCGCGAGCCGCCGCCCGTGTAGCGCGACAAAAAGAAGGTGAAGTGCCGGGTTTGCGATGAGGAGCGATCCGAACGTGGTATTCGGGTGATCAGATCACTACCGCCGAAGCGCGAGCGCTTGGAGAAGACCGATTTTCTGCCCATTTATTGAAACACCCAAGAAATTGCTCGCTCGGTGGGGGTCGCTCGCCCTTCTCATCACTGCCAAGAAGAGAGAACCGGCGCCCACTCCTCGACCTTCTTGGGCAGATGGGCAGCCACTGGTTCGACAGGTCCTCTCCGTGGCCGAGGGAGCGAGGGTGTTCAGAGGAAGGCTCTAAATCTCGCAAAGTTAGCGGTCAACTACCCATACGTCAATTTTGCTGCGTGGGCCAACAAACAAAAAACCGAAAATGCGAAGAAGCCCAGAAAGTTGAGAAAAAGAAAACGGTCCCCCTCGAGTGTGTCCGGTGAAGGACGCACGTTTTCGCCCCGCGCCCAGCGTCCGGTCAGACATGCATGTTGATAACTCGCGCTCCCTCCTACGCGCCTGAGACATGTCGCCCCCCGACTACAACGACGGGGACTGCTGGTACGCGTGCCCGCCGCTCGACGGTGGTTCGAGCGCCGCCAGCACCTACCACGTACGAGGCGCTCCAGGCGCGGTGATATCCGCGCAGGCCGTCGCGGACTGCTTCTACATCCACCCAACCACTGCGCTGCAAGGCCTGGGCAACGCCGAGTGGTCAGACGACGGCTCGATTCCTGGCTGGCTTGCCTCCGACATTGTGAGGCGGCAGGCATCTTGCTTCAACAACTGCGCGCGCATCTTTGCGCCGCGCTATCGACAAGCGCGCGTCTCCAACTACCACTGTTTCGAGGGCGAGGTGGATCCTCACTCCGGCTCTAAGCTGCCCGTCTACCACCAGCAGCCCGTCGGAAGCGCGGCCTTCGACATGGCTTACTCAGACGTGCGCGCTGCGTTCCTGCACTTCATCGACCACTTCAATAGCGGGAGGCCATTCATCGTCGCCGGACATAGCCAGGGCTCGCAGCTGCTTGTCCGCCTGCTCCGCGAGCTGGAGGGTGGGAGTCACCGCGACTGCCTCAGCCGCCTCGTCATCGCCTACCTTCCAGGCTGCCAGTGCGGCGCCGACAGTCTGCACGAACTGCCAATGGGCACTCACGCGGAGCAGGTGGGGTGTTGGGTTTCATGGGCGACGGTTGGTCACGGTACGACGACCACCATTGCGACGGGGCGGCGACGGCACGGCTACGTCGACGCGAGCGTCGTCACCGAGGGCCCACCGCTCAGCGTAAACCCCATCACGTGGATGGCGAGCGAGGCGTTGGCGGCGGCGGGCGAGCAGTGGAGCGCCCCCGAGGTGCACCGCGGGGCGTTGGTCGACGGGGTTCTGCATCCGCACACGCTGAGCACCATGTGCACGCCCGAGGGGCTGGTCGCTGCCCAAGTCGCCAGCGCGTCGCCGGCGCACGCAGGAGGCCCGCCGCGAGCCGCCGTCGGATCGCTCGTGCTGGCTGGCGACCTGCACGTGCACGACTACAGCCTGTTCTGGCTCGATGTGCGAGAGAATGCGCAGCTGCGCGTCCGGCAGTGGGAGGCAGCCCGAGCTAAGGTAAGGTAAGGAAATCAAGAAGCAAGAAGAGCACTTGGAGCACTTGGAGTGCAGTCGGCGCAGCCTCACATCCAGGGCCAGGGAGCTAAGAAGCGCACCCAGCGAGCCGGGTGATCGGCAGAAAAGAAAGAAAGAAAACAGACAAACCCAGACGAGGGATGGGGGAGGAGGACAGGGTCCCCACCTGCACGAGCAGGATTTTGGAAGGACGATCAGGGGGACAGGTGGGGCTCTCCTGCTCCTGACAAGGGACACGACAGGCTCGCAGCGCGGTGCGCGGTGGGCTCCCAACTCCACTGGCGGTCTCATCTCAGTCTAGTGACCTGCCTCCAGCTTCCCGCTGGCAGTCTCTCACTACCACAGGCACACTGACACAGGGGTGGCAGGGGCGGCGGCAGGAGTCACCGCATCGGGCTGCGAAGAGTACAGACGCGTTTCTTTTTCCTGTGACTGAAAGGTCCGATGCTACGGCACTCTCGCGTGCCGCTCCTTCGCGTGCCGCTGCTGAGAGCTGCTGCGCCACGGCAGCTCTGCGCGTGGAATCGAGAGAAGCCCCACATCAACATCGGTACCATCGGCCACGTCGACCACGGGAAGACGACTCTCACCGCCGCCATCACCAAGGCGCGACCACCTTTCGGCCTCGAGTCCGCCGATACCCGCCTGCTCCAGCTTTCCTCATCCCCGCGCGCCCGCCGCCGCCGCCAGGGTGGCGACGGACACACCGAGCTATGACCTTTGGCCCTCCCTACCCGCGCTGCCGCCTCCCGCCCGCCTTCAGGTGCTGTCCGAGGCGGAGGGCTGCTCCGCAAACTACAAGGGTTATGCAGACAGTTGAAGCTATGGGTGATCAGAGTGCG